AACCCAGGATTGTTAATAATAGGAAAAGCATTGAGTTCCACTTGTATGTGGAGGTAGAATTGGTGTATGGCTACAATCTTAACCAGTGCATGGAGCAGCTCTGACGTTAGATGAGAAATTAGGAGATTGAAAGAAACTTTGGCTTGTGATCTATCTTTGGAGTGAACAGGTAGGTATTTATAAAATGGGATGATGACATGTTTTAAGAATTCATTTTGAGTCATTCTTTAAGCCAAACACAGAAAAAGTCTTCTAAAGACTAAGAGACTTTTTGAAAAATGTTGCTTTGTTAATCTAAGAGACATATTGAAATCCTTATGACCTTAAACATGAATTTGGTGATATTGTGCTTGTGTACTTGAATAGGTATTGTTCCTACTTGCATGCAGCTTATCATCGGAATATGTTCAAGGTTTTGAAATCTAAAGCTAGGATTTTTACATTTTAAGATATTTAGATAATTAATGCTGGTCTTCCATGGACTGTTTGGTGAATCCGCGTATGAAGTTTCTAGTAGTCATTTACTCTTACATTTTCTTGTGCGTTCCAGAAAAGCACAGCTTCTATTCGTGGCAATTTCCGTGACAACAAGTCAGTCGTCATCTTCTAGAGACAAGCTATTGAAATTCGAGGACCACGTCACATAAAGAGACGAGTTCTTCTGGAGCCGCAAGAACACTCATCCCACTTCTCTTTGTTCAATCCTTGGTCAGGAGAGAGTGATGAAAATTCTCGCGATAGCTTGCTGCTTCGTCGCGATCGCCATTCTTGGTGCTGCTGCCAGAGGAACGGATTACTATGTGGGCGATTGGACAAATGGCGTGAATTTCACGCAGTGGTCTCAAGGCAGAGTCTTCCACGCCGGTGATTTACTGAGTAAGTAAAAATTTCTACACCTATCTTCGGTGTGTTCTTGACTTAAACAACAAAATCTCTCGCAGTTTTCACAGTGTCCACGAGTGATACCATCCTCAGGGTGTCACAATCTGTCTATAATAACTGCGAGTGGGATTTGCGCTTCCCCAAGATTTTCCCGGCTCCTTGGAAGACGACGTGGAACGAGACGGTGGTGCCATGGGTGGGAGAAAACTATTACGTTTCATCGGTCCAGGACAATTGCAAGGCCGGGAAGAAGTTTATGTTGAGCGTCCAATCTCCGCCGGTTTACACTCCGAGAGAGTACACGGTTGGAGATGATCGAGGATGGGCTCCGGGTGTGAATTACTCGCAGTGGACTGCCAACAAAAACTTCTACTTCGGAGACTCTTTCAGTAAGTTCTCTAGATTTTTTCTCTCCATTTCTGGGAATGATCTTGGGATTTTTCCAGGGTTTTTGTTCAATGCCTCGGAGCACTCAGTGGTGGAAGTGTGGGAGCCCGGCTACCAGCTTTGCAACGAGTCCTACTTCTTGCCGGTGCTCGGACTCCCCACGCGGCAAGATGATGGAAGAACTTTGTTCAAGGTGGTACCGCCTCAGGGAATGCATTACTACACGAGCGGCAATGGGAACGATTGCCAGTCGGGGCTCAAGATGGCGCTGGAGATCAAGCCGCAGGACGAGGCATTCGCTCCATCTCCATCGCCGTCGGGTGGAGTTGCTGGGCAAGAAAGTTCCGCTGGTTATAGAACGATAAGTTTCCCGCTCTCGCTTGGATCTGGAGCAGCGATCGTGGCGCTCTCACTGCTCGCCATGGCTTGATTGTGATTTTTTCTCGGGATTGTTTATAGTATACTTGATTGTTTTTGCTTTATCTGTTCGTTTCCATTCCAGAAGAGCAAGAGCGTGCTACAACCGGCCCGCGGCACGTACCGCGCTGTGTACGTCACAGTGATTGATGCGTGGCGTAACCGCGTTCCAGATAAGCAAAGGAGGTCTCTAGAGTGTTCTTTGCACCTTGTGTGGACACGACATGGCCATGAAATCTCCACGGGCATACAAGCAGCTTCTGAGCCTTGTTTGCGGGGTGACGGGCGACGAGCGAGAAGTCCCCGGCATGGAAAACTTCCGGCCAAACTCAACACCAAGACTATCCGTCTAGCGGTGTTTAGCCGAGGACATGCCTGGGTTTTACTTTTCAAAAGTCAGTGTGCCTGGGTCTTGGTGCCGGAATAGAACGTCCCGCAAACGATTACAATGGCGACTCGTACCCGATCGTGAAGAACTGCAATCACTTCACGAACGACGCGTGCACAGGATTTTCAATTCCGGGTTGGGTGAACAGGCTCGCAATACTACCTTGGTATGTAAAGAAAAATTCACACTTGCCCAGACAGTACTGTTTTACTACTTCTATCAGATCATAGATATTCTCGTTTTTCTTTCTGCGTTTTTATCTTTTGCTTGGCTTCAGATTAGTTGTGTATTTTAAGAATCAATAAAAACGAAAAAGGAAGGCAAACAAGCTCAAAGCTGGAAGTTATGGAAGATAGGATTTGAGACGCTGCGTGTGGCTTGTCCTCTGGAAGGAGTCCCCGTTTTCACGCCCTGCATAAGAGAAAAATCAATAAAACTTTTGGAAAGGAAGATTAATACTTACTCCACCGCCGGACAATGGACTGGACAGTGGCAGCACTCCACGTCCTCAACGGCATCCTCGGCAGCGTCTCGCTCGAAGACCAGCTGATAGATCTTCTTCATCTGCTCCAGCGCAGTGCCACCGTACTGACAGACAAAAGTGGCATAGACCTCAGGCTCTTCGGTGATCCCATGTGGAGCCACTCCTCGGATTGATCGGTGGTCGTAGCCCGTCCTTGCAAGCGTCGGCACATCAAAACCGATTCCCGATGCCGAAGAGAGAACTGCAATGCGGGTGGGGTCCTGGATGAAGCCGCACCACCACCCAACATCAGGGACGTCCCCGTTCCAGACCGCATCCGGGAACATGCCTGCTACTTTCACTCTGAATGACTCCACTAGCTTCCTCTTGTACATGGCTTTGAGCGAAAGCAAGATCGGCGGCATCGAGGGCATCTCCCTTTTCAGTGCAGTGATCTGCTCATTCAGTGAAGTGATCTGCCCCCGCAGCTCCGAGTTCTTGTTTTGCAAAGCGGTGATCTTCTCCCGCAGCACCGAGTTCTCGTTTTGCAAAGCAGTGATCTTCTCCCGCAGCACCGAGTTCTCGTCTTCCAAAGCAGCGATCTTCGCGTCCGAAGCAGCGATCTTCACGTTCAAAGCAGTGATCTGGTCCTGGAAGGCAGTGATCAGTGTTGTCACGGAATTGCTACCACTAGACTCAGCTGCCATCTCTACCGCTGCCTCCTTCATCTTGCCTTTCTTCTCGTCCTCTGCCTGCGCTGCCTGCGCCGCCACCTCTACCGCTGCCTCCTCCTTCATATTGCCTTTCTTCCTCTCCTCCGCCTGCGCTGCCGCCTCTTCCACGAGCAACATGCCTGCCTGGGCACTCGCATACTCCTGGGAACGCAGCGCCTGCCGGTACAGTAATCCAGTGTGATCTTTGCTGTTGGCATTAGGGCAGTACGCAACAAAGCCGCCCTGTTCTATGAACTTACGCACGGCCCAGCCTCCCCTACCATGAGGATGAAGGTTTCGCTCCACGCCGACCTCTTCCGAGAGGCCAAGGGCGTTGAGCCACTCGTCCACGTCAGCTACAAAACCACTGTCGTTGCATAGATCGTCCATCTTCGACTCGGCAAGCCTCTGGGGCACCGGCCAGTCCTTGCGAAGCTCGTAGTAGAGGATGGTCAGAGAGACAGGGCTAGCCGGTGGAGCCGCCTTTTTCTTCTGCTTCTCCTTGGTCTTATGCCCCATCGCTCCTCACAACCCTAAAAGCCCCGCCACCCAAAAGTTTGTACAAGTCTCTAAACCTAGAGACCACAAAGCTCGATTTGTTGAATGGTGTCACCCTACAGCACTGTTACAAAAATGTATGTTGTTTGATTCTTTGTTTCTCTCTTGTACATCTTGTGGAGCTCTCTCTCTGTCTCGCTCTCTCTCTCTCACTTCCAGAGCACCTCGATGGGGATCCCACGGAGCTCCGCCACCTCATGGAAGTGGCGGAGCTGCGACACGGCGTGCAGTGTGGCCCTGGCGTTGTTGAGCGTGTTGTCGCTCCCCATCTGCTTGCCTAGCGCGTTCTCGATGCCGGCCATCTCCAGGACGACGCGCACCGCGCCGCCCGCGATGATGCCCGTCCCCGGCGACGCTGGGCGGAGCATCACGTCCGCTGCGTGGTAGTGCCCGTCCACCCTGTGGCGAGAGAGTTAGAACAAAGGAAACCGAGACTCCAAGGATGACAGGAGTATCAATCACCACACTCTGAGCAAGAACAAGCAGAGTTACCTGTGAGGGAAAGTCTTGTACTTGGTCATCCTCACGGTGACGATGTTCCTCCTGGCATCCTTGACGGATTTCTGGACAGCCGCGATCACCTCCTTGGCCTTTCCAACTCCAACTCCAACCTTTCCCTTCTTGTCACCCACCACCGATACCACCCTGAACTGGAGCTGCTTGCCCCCTTTCACCACCTTGGTCACTCGCCGGACCTGGACCACGGACTCCTCCAATCCATCCTTGGATCCCCCTCGCCGCCCCCCCATCCCTCCGGGGCCTCCTTCCTCTCCCCGCCGCCTTCTCCCGCCGCCACGCTCCTCCTCCTCCTCCGCCGTGCTCTCGGACGCCTTCTTTCGTTCCCAGGACGGCCCGTAGAGCGATTCGTAGGCCTCTTTGATCTCCTCCGTGCTCATCCCCACGTCGTCGTTGGGATCGGTCATGGATGGATCCGCGCGGAGCCGTCCCTTGTATGCGGCGGTCACGAGCAGCGCGGATTGTTTGCTCCTCCTCCCGCTGGCGATGAGAGGATTTGCAATGCCGATGCGCGGCTGCGACTTGAGGGAGAATGTGGGACGCCTGGCGATGGCGCAGGGCAGGCGTACCTGGGAGGATTCCAGCGCCGTGGCGGCGCCCGAGCTGAGCGAGAGAATCGCCGACGCCATTGAGCGATTTCGTTTATCTCTTCTCACGACGCCATAGCCAATCTCGAAATTCTAGCATAAGAGCCCTAATTCTTTCAATCAATCATTACCGAGGGGATGGAGGCGCACTGCGCTGTGATGGTGCGAATCCGCGGCCCAGTAAGTGATGATCTCGCGCGCGCGCTGGATTTGAGCTGCATTCTCGCTGTTCTTAGGATCCAAAGTCGCGGAAGATGCTGCGCCATGCTTTCCACGCATCAGAGTATGGTGTCTCCTTCTTTGATTTCTCCTCACGAGCCCTGTCAGATCGGGCGAGACTACTCTCTCGGCATCCGGTTTGCTGCTGCCGATCGCTGGAAAATCCGTGGTGGCGGTGACTTGCGCTTCGATCGTGGAGCCGTATCTATCGCCTAGCGATCTTGCGGTAACATTTTGTGATGGCTTTGAAATTGGAGTCACAGCGATCTCTTAGGACCAAGACTCGATCAAACTTGTTCGAGGCGCGACTCTAGAAGTTCTTCTGCAAGTGATCACTCATTCTTTCTTCTTCGTTGTTTGTTTCCTTCTTATTTCTGAAAGTTTCAGGCTCCTCCTAGCTCAAATGAATTTGGATCCAGACCACTTTGGCTTCCAGCGCAAATTTTAAAACTGGTAAACAGTAGCAGTTCTTCGCGAAGTCTGTTCTACATGTGTTTGATCCAGGTGCTTGTGAAGCGGGCATCAGAAGCGGTGAGATCCTTACTCGACGTGCAAGGAGGCGATGAGTTGTGGGAAATGGGCTGGAGTGTGGCAAATCCTCAAGAATCTCGTCCGGAGAATGCCACAGTGGTAAGTTAAAGTTTGCAATTTATCCTATATCCTAAGCTGCGCTGCGTTCTAGAGCGATTTTTCTCGCAGCAAAGAGGGTGCTGTGCCTAAGACCACAGCTACGCTAGCAGCAGCTTTTACAAGGATAGCTGTCCTCAGCGTGCAAGCAAATACTACGGTTTGTTTTTCTCTTTTCTTTTCAAGTCTTTCGTCCTAAAACTTGAAGTACAAATTCTGTGCAGGAACTGGTGCTCTCAAATGTTTGTACCAAAGGCGATTTTGTCCGCGCAATTGGATCACCTTTTGGTGCGCTATCACCTCTGCATTTTTTTAACAGGTAGAGAGCCATCCCGCAACTGACTGGGTTTTACTGGAATTTGTTTGCCAGCGTTTCGGTTGGCAATGTCTCCAATTGCTGGCCGTCGTCATCTAGGCTCATTTTAATGGCTGATATCCGTGCTCTTCCTGGTGAGCTCTGATGATATATCGTGTGAGGTCGTTCGATTTTAATGCTTCTTTTCGATGATTGCAAACTAAATTCTTGTGTACAGGCATGGAAGGTGGTCCTGTTTTTGATGCTGCTGGTAATCTTGTTGGGATTCTTCTTAGGCCACTGCGTCAGCGCAGTTCTGGAGTTGAAGTTCAAGTAAGCTGTGTAGAGAAGTTTTATCTTTCTCTCTTATTTCTTTTGAAACAGCTTATCTTACCAGCCAAGGTTCTAGTGTCAGAACTGGAAGAACTTGGTTTCAACGTCATGTACAACATCTTTGACAACGAGAAGTTGCAAAGTAATAAACACATTCAAATGGCACTTTCATCAGTAGTTCTTCTAACAACAAGCAACGGAAGCTGGGCATCAGGAACTCTTCTCAACAAGTCGGGCCTTATATTGACAAATGCTCATCTTTTGGAGCCGTGGAGGTTCAGAAGGTTAACAGTTGATCCGTCGAACCCTTTGCTTCGGGACGATTTTCTAGAGGTGGCCAACGTATCAAATCGTGGCCAGTATTCACCCGTTCAAGTACGTCTCGAGCGCCAACAGCGACGTTCTTGGCATTTTGCGACAGTAGTATTTGTCTCGCATGGACCACTGGACGTTGCTCTCTTGCAACTCACCTCGGTGCCTTACGAGCTCGAACCAATTCCAGTCGACACCACAGAGCCAGTTCCTGGATCAGCAGTAGCTGTGATTGGCCATGGACTTTTTGGGCCCCGAACAGGCAAGAACCGCTTTTCGTTGGCGTTAACATCCTTCTTGTTAACTTGCAGAGCTAGGACCCTCTATAACAATCGGAGTTATCTCACGAGTCGTGAATAGCCGCGAGATCGTTTCAAACCCGCAAGAGTGTGAATCAAACACACCTGTGATACTTCAAACGACTGCCGCTGTTCATCCCGGTGGAAGTGGTGGCGTCGTGGTTAACAGCCAAGGTCGTATGATCGGCTTGGTAACAAGGTACGCTTTTCTTTTCTTCCAGCAGAGAGGAGCTTACACTTCCTTTTACTTGACACAGTAACGCAAAACATGGTGGAGTCACAGTGATCCCATACTTAAACTTCAGCATTCCTTCGGCAGCATTACGCCCAGTGCTCCGGTTCGCCGAGTCCGATGGTAAGACAGCTATCAAATTCTCCTCGCAGAAGTTTGATCATCTTTGCTTCCAGATTTTTCACTGCTCTCAGAGCTCGACAAGAAAGACACTGGATTGTCTGCCGTGTGGTCGATGGTGGATCCTCTAAAAACCGCTCCTCGGCCTCCTTTTGATCCCAAGAACCAAGGCAAAGGCTTGCGATTCGCGAAGTTCATCGCTGACAACGACAAGCACGCGGGGTTCGAATCCCTTCCACCGCAAATCAAGTCGATGCTCTAGGAGGGATATACCGCATCTGGAAATGGAATATCTCTCGTGGTCTTTCTCCGTTTTTCTTCTTCGCGAGGGAGAATGCGAAGAGCCACGATGTAGCTCCTGGAGAGACTCTGGATTTTCTAGCGACGAGCGCCTCCTTCTACGCGATCTCTAGGGTCGCGCCAGGAGGGAGGAAGGAAAAATGGGGTGGAAAGCGTTCGTGGAAGGCGGCGCCGCGTCCATCGTCGCGGGCTCCATGACGCATCCACTGGATCTCATCAAGGTGAGAATGCAGCTCCCAATCGCAGCGGGAGATTCGCCAGTGGCGGCGGCGGCGGCGGCAAGAACAGGGCCTCTGTCGGTCGGGATTAGGGTTCTTCAAAAAGAGGGCGCCAAGGCGCTCTTCTCGGGCGTCTCGGCGGCCATTCTCCGCCAGGGGCTCTACTCCACCACGCGGCTAGGGCTCTACGACGCGATCAAGGAGGCGTGGCGAGAGAAGCGATTGGATCCCAGCAATGCCGATCTGGATCTGGCAGTCCACAAGAAGTTCGCGGCCGGGCTGATCGCAGGAGGGATCGGCGCAGCGGTAGGGAATCCCGCGGATGTGGCGCTGGTGAGGATGCAAGGCGATGGGAGGCTCCCAGTGTGGCAGCGGCGGAGATACCTCGGGGTCGGCGACGCCCTGGCCAGGATCGCGCGGCAGGAAGGGGTTGGATCGCTGTGGACGGGGTCGGGGCCGACGATCCAGCGCGCGATGATCGTCACGGCGGCGCAGCTCACGACCTACGATCAGAGCAAGGAGTTCCTGGCGGGGAGAGGGATCTGCCGCGAGGGATTGGCGACGCACGTCGGGGCGAGCTTGGTCGCGGGGTTTGTGGCGTCGGTGGCGTCCAATCCCGTGGACGTGATCAAGACGAGGATGATGAGCGTGGGCGCGGGGGACGCCAGGTATAGCGGGAGCTTGGACTGCGCGATCAAGACTGTGAGGGGAGAGGGCGCCATGGCTCTCTACAGGGGATTTTTGCCGACCTTGACAAGGCAGGCGCCATTCTCGGTGGTGCTGTTCGTCACCCTGGAGCAAATCAAGGCCATTCTCAAGGATTTCTAGCTCTTGGATTTCTAGAAATCCAAAGATCTTTTTGTTCGTCATGGTATAATCTAACGACTTAGCTGCAATGTTTTGGACATGGACCATGAGGTTATCACTTTGATCGGGCGTGCTTCTACCATCTCGCAAGTGAAAGACCTAGAGAGAACTTTGGTTGAGAGGAAACTCCACCGCCATGTCCAGCTCGTGAATCTAATCGTCAAAGCATATGCCAGGTGTGGCAGCCTCCAAGATGCCCTTTCTGCCTTTCAAACGCTCGAGTGTCCCAACCAGCACTCTTGGAATATCCTGCTCTCGGGCTACGTCCGCAATGGAGGTATTGCCCAAGCGGAGGAGCTGTTTGGAGTCTTGCCATTGCGAGATCGAGTGACTTGGAATACGCTGGTTGCAGCTTATGCTAATGCTGGGCATTTGCGTAAGGCAAAACAGCTGTTTGATACGATGCCGGACAGGGACATTGTTTCTTGGGCGTCACTTCTCCAGGCGTTTGTAAAGAAGGGAGATTTGAGCAGTGCAAAGAGGTTGTTTGATCTGATGCCCAGATGGAACGCCGTGGTCTTTAATTCCATGATATCTGGATTTGCAAACTTGGGTGATCTCTCCAGCGCCGAGAGTATGTTTGCATGGATCCCAGAAGCGACGCTCGTTACATGGACAACCATGGTGGCCGCGTTTTGCGAAAAGGGTCTAATAGCTAGAGCTAAAGACCTCTTCTCCAAAATGCCCGAAAGAAACACGCTAGCCTGGACTGCCATGCTTGAAGCGTTTTCTCTGAAAGGTGATCTCACCGAAGCAAAGCGGGTTTTTGATTCCATGCCAGAGTGGGATCTTGTCTCGTGTACGGTGATGCTTCAGGCATATGCCAACAGAGGGCATCTGGTAGAATGTATTCGTTTGCTCCAAACCATGCACGAGAAAAATGTGGTCTCCTACAATGCGGTGATTTCGGCTTTTATTAACGCTGGAGACTTAGAGGGAGCCAAGTCTCGGTTTGATTTGTGCCCAGAATGGGACATTGTGTCGTGGACAACTTTGATTTCGGGATATGCCGTGGCCAGGTATTTTGATGCTGTGGAGAGCTTTTTTGCAAGAATGCCCGATGTGGACACAATGACGTGGAATACCATGCTAGCGGCGTATGTCGGCGATAGAAACATCTCTCGTGCAAAGACAACGTTCTATTCCATGCAAGAGCGAGATAACGTTTCATGGAACGTGATTTTAGCAGCCTATTCCCAAGCTGGAGATTTGGAGGAGGCAAGGAGGCTGTTCTCCACAATGCCGGAGCGCAACACTGCATCGTGGAACACACTGATTGGCGGCGAGGCCTACTATGGTGAACATGCAATGGATTTTTTTCGTGGAATGTGTGTCCATGGCTTGGAAGCGAGTGAGATTTCGTTTCTCAATTCTTTGGTGGCTTGCAACCACAAGGGACACATAGTACAAGCGTGTAACCTGTTCTTGTCTATGAGCTTGGATCACAATCTAGAGCATTGGGAGGAGCATTTCTCACTGATGGTGGATGTTTTGGGGCGGACAGGGCAGCTCAATACCGCAAAGGAACTGGTTCAAGGAATGCCACTGGAACCAAACGTTGGAGCCCAGGGCGCTTTGTTTGAGTCACAAATCAGAGTCACTTGTACTCTAAAATCAAAAGCATAACTTTCCAAACAAAACAAAAAAAATAAATTGTTATGTGTTGCATCTAGCAACAGTTGTTTTGCTTAATAGTAGTGTTATTATTACTTACTAATCCAATTGATCAAATAAAGTTTATAATTATAATCATGTTTGTAATTTATAAACACAAGATTAATCTTATTGCATATCAACCATTAGATGATAGAATAAAAAAGAATATACTAGAAAAAGTTTAAGTAAGTTTATAAACTATAAACATGTTTATAAATTATAAATACATATTAATCTAAATGAATGACAACCGTTAGATGGTAGAATATCCTAGAATATCCAAAAATATTTTAGGTATATTCATTACCATCCCAATCCTTTGCTTAAGCAAACCAAAAAAAGTGAAACAAATAATAATAATAATAATAATAAGAAAAGCGTTGTAAGTATCGACAAGTGGCTTCTGAGCTGTGGAGTTCGTTGGGCGTTCAATCTGAGGTTCTAATCTATTCTTAATTTTCTAATAAACTTAGTCACGGAACCTCATGGCACTGTTGAAAGTGTTTTTGATACTGGCAATTTTCTGTGCCGAGGTTTATACTTTCCCGAAGTGTCCAATAGCAGGAAGTCCCTTTAGATACAATCACAAATGGTTACGCAAGGGACATCCTTTCCATGCAAATCTAAAGCTCATGTATTCAAGCTTGTACACCTTGAGGATCTTGGGTGGCTATCTCCAAGAAGGTAGTGGAAAATTTATTGCCTATGGTTGCTACTCTTGCCCTGTTGGTTTCGACTCGTATGATAGCTGCAGGGCATGCATAAGAAACATCCAAGCCATGTTTGACAAGTATGTTCCACTCGCAATTGGTGCTGCTGCTTGCTTGGGTGAAGTGGGGCATATGTGTTACTTGCGATATGAAATGTATGACTTTGAGTGTGATGCTCCCTGGTAAACAAAAATATGTCTAAATGGAAGAATTTTCACTCTATTGAGTTTCTTGCTTCTCCATTTGACGATTAACCAAAAAAAACCACGAAACAAATAGCTTACACAGAGGCGGAACCAGCCTCTTCAAAGGCTTTACTCCACACACTGGCGATTCTCTCGTTATACGTCACCTACACACAAAAGTCTCACGATTCAAGCACACAGGATGAGAAGAGAAGGAACTTACCTGAGTTTGTACAAAGCCCTTTAGCATGCTGAAAAAGTCTCTTTGTCGATCGCATTCATAGTTTTCGATTTCACTCCGGTTACGTTCCTGATAGACCGCGTTAGATCTGTATCGAGGGAGACAACAAGGCACACTACCTTGATTCGCTCGTACTCCTCTTGCGCTTTGTCCCGGCTCTTCTCCGCTGTCTTGATGGAGTCGTTCAGCTCCTCCACCTTCCGGTTGCTGGATCTATCGCCCCCGAAAGTTTTCGAGGAAGAAGCATTCAGCTTCTCGATGCGAGCATGCATCGCCGAGAGGTCCGTCATCAGTGTCTGCAAGGTCAGCAAAGCGCTGGAGCGATCCGAAAAAGCAGTATGCACGGATTGCATGAGACCAAGATAATCGTGCAAGTGGTCCTGCAAGGCTGGAAGTTCAAGTTCACATTTTTCCCGGATGAAAAACCAGCGCCTACCAGATGCTTGCAAGATTCAGCGTTGAATTCCTTGTAGAAGCGGCTCACTTTCACTGCTGCCGTTGCCAAGCGCTTGACATCAGTGGCGTGGACCTTTTGAGCGTTGCCAGTCGCTTCTTGAGACTCATACTTTCCTATGCGTATCAGAGCAAGTCCGAGATCTCCCACCACATCCCCAACCTCTTGCTGTGCCTTGATCAGAGCTTCAGCCTAAATGAGAAAGTTAAGAGCAAAAAGAAAAGCTGGCCTTGAGAACCCAAACCTGCTGAGAAGCCTCAGTAAGCTCCAGCTCGAGATCCTGGAGCTTCTCCTTCTTCTCCAAAAACTCCTTGTCTTCCTCAACAACGGGAGGCTTGGACGCCCCCCAGTCATTTGTGACGGACTGCCGCAGCTCCTTGAAGATTCTAATCAAATCTCTGCCACCTTTGGCAGGCTGTGACGCCTCTTGAGGAGCCAGCACGGTGCTGCTATCGCCAAAGAGCTGCTTGGGCAGCTTTGCTGCTCCATCCAGCATTCTCGAGGCCATGTCGATGGATGGCTGCAAAGGTAGCTTCCCATTCGTTTGAAGAAACAGCCTGAGCTCCTCGGACTTCCTCAAAACTGGATGGGCCGCGAGCCGGCTCAAGTACTTCTCCAGAGCCACGCGCCTCTGCTCGATAAACTCCTGCTTTTGCATCACTTGGCTCTCCACGATGCTCTTGTCCGGGCGAGGAGGTATGAAGTAGCCCCTGTAAGCCAGCGCGAGGCGGTCGGCGAGCGTGACAAAGTCGCGAAATCTTCTTCTCACGCTAAACTCCGTACCACCATACTCGGGAATGTTGGTGTGCGATACCACCAGATAGGTCACGTAGATGTTGGGAACCAGCGAGGAGCCCGTGGATTCTTGGATCTTCTGAGGCTGCGTGACGGCCATTGTGAGAAATTCTTGAGAAGAATTTCCCCCGTTCCTGGAGATCGGGACCTCCTTGGATGAATCTGAGACCCTAGGATCTGGTTCTGGCCCTGATTGAGCTCCAAGAAAACCGTCCTCATCGTCCTCCTGATCTGCCGAGGGAGACATCGCCCCACTGGCCGCCATGGCGCTCCTGTAGTCGCTGCTGGAGAAATACGCCAGCGGTGCCTTGTCCAACGAGATCGACTCCATACCTTCCATACATTCTTCCATGCCCTTCTCCTCCATTTTCTTGTGCAGATGCAAAAAACCCTTAAAACCCTAGACGGATATTCGCAGCGAATCTAATCTACATTTGAAAAACTTCTTAGTTGTTTTCGATTAAGCCCATCTATTTACATTGGACATTAGCACAAATGGTGTCACTTGTATAGCTTTTTACTTTTTTCAAGTGAGAATTCCTTACTTTATTAAAATTATTTTAATGAAAATTCTTGTGAAAATTTTTAGTTTTCAAACACCTGCTCACAATCTTCATTTTTTAAAGCTCTTTATATGGTGTGCAATTTGTAAACTGTTTGTAGATGATTGTATATGGACTCATTTAACTTGGCATAATTTAGATGGTAACACTATTTTGGCCAAATCTTGGTTAAACTTTTTTTCCACATACAAAGTCAAAGTATTCCCTATAAATATTCCTTAGAATCCAATGGCCACTCCCATTATATTCATAACCCATATTATACCCATTTTATAGCCATCATAAGCTCATATAAAGTGTTGCATTAAGAGTTCTTTAGAAGGGTTAAATTTCACAAGTATGATAATATAATGGTTGTTGAACTAACCATAATAAACATAGGCTAGCCAAAGATCTTTAACAACAACTATTGAAATATAGACTACCACAATCAATAGTAACCACAAGTAAGTTGTATGATATTTTTGCATTAGAAACAATTTTGTGCATTATTAAAGTAATGTGTAAAGACTGCTTCCTATTGATTGCAATGTAAGAACAAAATATGAAGCATGAAAACTATGGATGTAATTTAACAAAGAGCTTCACATAATGCATTTTACATTGGACTAATGACATCCACAATTTAGTCCCTCAGAAATAAATCTATTATCAAATTCCACTAGTACACACTTTTTCTACCTCTTGTTACCTACCAAAAAAACATAGAAAAATAGTGAAAAAAAATTAAAAAATTCCACTCCTTGATCTCTATAAAGAAGTGGGTAAAAGATAGCACTAGATGAGTGGAGAGAGAGAGAGAGAGAGAGAGAGAGAGAACACTTGACTTTTAATGTAAATAGAATGTGCATAAACTTAATCAAAAGTAATATAAGTGTGGAGATACATGACTTTCCCTACAGCCAGGTATTTATATTACATGTCTTTAACTACTAAGCATGAAAAGAAATAACTATTTGTTTAAGAAAATTCCTGAGTAAGAGAAAATCCCAACCTACCTTCCATTCCCCTACAATTGAATAAGCATATGTCTCATAAAGCTCAATTGGTTGCTACTTAATGCTAACCTTTCATTAACTAAGGATTAATCTTGTTGATGAAGTTGTTGCTTTCCTAATCGTTGTAGTAGTTCATCCTTGTAAGTTTAGAACTCTACTAGAACTCTTTCTTTTTCGGCATGTTCCTAAGTTAAGAGTAGCTCTCTAACTTGATATAGAAGGCTGTCATGCTCTTGAGTCAATTAGGCCTATGGTGGCCAATGCTTTGGAAAGATGTTACAAAGTTTTGTCATGATTGTGACACATGTCAAATACATAAATTAGCTTAAAAGAAGCAATGTCATAAACTTAATCTTATATATATCCATATGAACCATTTTAGAAATAGGGTTTAAATTTTGTTAAACCAATCATGATAAACAACAAGAGAAATAAATACTTGCTAGTTGCTACTAATTAAATGGGTGGAAGCAAAACCACTTAAAAATGCTAATAAACAAAGTTAGATAGAAACTATAAACAAAGTTTTAAAGACAATCTTAAAAAAGATTATTTAGGAAAATGGAAAAGATTGGAATGATCATATTCTTGATGCTCTTTGGGATATAGAGTTGTCTATTAAGTTTCCACTAAAATGACACTAACTCCATATAACTTATATGGAGTCGAAGCTCTTACACCAATAGAATATATTGTAAGATTGGCTATAAAATATAATCTTAGAGAGAAATAAGCATTTCAAAAGAGACTAGCAATGCTAGATAAACTCAATGAAGAAAGGGTAAATGCTTTATGGGCACTTTATGCTATTTAAACCATAAGAAAAACAAGACATGATTGCAAGATTAAAAAAACTAGTCAAGATATAATCCAACATGGAGATAAAGTCTTTTGAAAAATTGACAATTTTAGAAATAAATTCTAGAGAAAATGGGAAGGACTATACTTAGTCTTAGATCTCAATCCCAAAGGTTGTGCTAAGATCATAGATCTAATAGAAGAATTTTTACAAATTGTCAACTTCAATAAGTTGCACAAGTAGCTCATAAATTTTGTTAAGACAAAACACTTAAGAATTTTAGAAATTCCTCTAGGGTTTACCCTAAAAATGCAGTGACCAAAAGTAACTGTGCTTGTGGAACTCGAGCCCATCAAGGTGAGTACTACCCTTAACCTTGTCAACTAAGCACACTGCAAAAGAATGCTCCCTCTCATAGTTGGTTTCCAAGAGTTAATTGCCATTGAGTAAGGAAGACAAATGATTGAAGCATAAGACAACAATTCCCATTCATTTATTTTCCCTCACACATGACTCGAAGTTACAGAGGAAGCAATGATAAGGGCCATGGGAATTTTAAGTGGAAGAGAGTTCATCCAATCCTCCAAAGCTCTCAAATTCCTAATGGACTATGTCTACATCTATAAAATCTTATCATATATGAAGGGGAACAAGATGAACATCTTTTGGATTCGTAAAAAACATTAAGAGAGAATGAAATTTCTCTCTATCATCCTTGAGGCTAAAAAGAATCTAAAGAGCATTAGCATCAATCTTGCACAACTTTACTAGCTACTAGACAAAGGAGAGTAGGTGAATTTAGTTGAGCAGATCTATGACAAATTTCTAAATCTCATGCGAGAAGTTCAAAAAATCCTGAGTAGTGCCAAGCCAAGGAAAAGTATAGTTTTTCTCTACCTTGTTCCACTGAACAAACTGATCTTTGCATCAACAGTGTGATTGATGTTAATGCTTCCTCCTGAAGTAGCACAACCAGACTACAATGATGGTACTAACACTAGCGAGGATGAGGATCTTATAGTGGTCAAGCTCTCCACTAGCGAGAAAAAACATCAACTCCATTAAAGAGGCCAAGCATGCCATGTTTAAAGTAGGCTTGAATGGTTACCAAAAATCCCAGAGCCAAACAGGGAACACTAGACAAGTCTTATGAGTAACTAGCACGATCTACACCAACAAAAACCATGGAGAATGAGGAGAACTAAAAAAATTCTAAGTAGCAAAGGAGAAGGGAGTGGCACTAAAAATTCCTCCTCTCAAGCTCGTCGGATGAGGAAAACAATGAAGTAGTCTACAATGATGTAAACAACTCCTTCCATCACAATTTTGACGAAGTGCCATAGCTAGACAAGTCAAAGGATATGACACTCACAAAAAATTCCTGACTCAAGGGATTGTCCAAGTGAAAGGCCAAGAAGATCCACCACTTGACCAATCACAGCATGACAAACATCAAGAAAGTCACCCCCTAACAAATAGCCCTCTTCACTTGCAAGGCCCAACTGTAAGGAACCAACTCGCCGAGGTGTCGTAGGCTAAGGGAACCCCGAAAGCATGACCAAAATGACAAAGAGTTCATCGGATGGGACCAAGTCAAAGATCGAGTCCAAGACCGACTCTAGGACCGAGTTCGAGATCGAGTCCGGAATCGAGTCCGAGACCGACTCGGGGACCGAGTTCGAGTCCGAGTTCGAGACCGAGTTCGAGACGGAGTCCGAGATCCGAAATCGGGTCCGAGACCGAGTCTGAAGTCGAGTCCGAGGTCGGGCCCGAGATCGGGTCCGAGATCGAGTCCGCGATCGAGTCCGAGACTGAATCCGAAGTCGGATCCGAAATCGGATCCGAGATCGAGCCAGAGACTAAGTCCAAATACTAATACGGGTCAAGGGGTGAAAGCCCAAAGCGTGCGTCCCCCAGGGGGGGGGGGCTGCAGGGGGTTCCAAAAGTATAGTAGGGATAGTGAGGTCCAGGAACCAGTTTTGAAGGGACTCTCCAGTTGGGCTTCCAAACCGACTTGAGGTTGGGACTGGGACTAAGGGGCCTTGGGTGGGAGTGAGCATGGACTTGGCTGGTGCCGGAGGGGCCATCCAAGGAAGTGCTCAAGAGCAGCTCCCACTCCCGAAAGGGAAACCGATTGCGGTGCTCCCGGCTCATGTGGAGTGGTGCCCCACTTGAGTACCATGCGGCTCATTGGTCCTCGCCCTTCCTAGGGGCTTGGGCCTTCCTTCGGGATGGAAGTGGGGGGCGAGAGGTACCCATACCGGGCCGTTAGGCCACGGTGTTTCGCCCCGACGTCCCGAAGCAAGTGTTGCACTCAAGACTTGGGATTTAGAGGGTCCCATGATCAAGTCTTGTGGTACCAAGGGATGTTAGGAACCTGGAAGCTTGGTGTGCTTGGCTGCTTGTGCTTGCGGGGAGTGTAGCCGAACCTTAAGTCCAGTCTAACCCGGGGAGGGGGATTGGGAGTGATTTGGGAATCCGTGGAAGGATGGCTAACACTCCGTTGCTCGTGCAGTGAGTAGCTGAAACCAAGTAGGAGCTGGTACCATAGGCGAGAACCTTGGCAAGGGAACTTAGCAAAAGCCAAGGCAGTGTTGGACGGATAGACGAGGTAAGCTGGCAAATTGGAAAGGAAAAATTTGTGGCTTACAATTTGGTATCGGAGCCTTTTCCTCAGTTCTAGCGAAGGATAGAGGCGGATTGCTGGGAGATGGCAAGGGCAGGGCATAAGCGAACCCAGGCGGAGACGGAACCTCCACCAGAGCTGGAGCCTCCGGTCGAACAAGAGGCTATGGATGAGGAATCCTTGCATGAGGAGGACTCCAGTGAGGAAACCTCCAAACAGGAGTCCGGTGGCGAGGTTCGGTCGTCCAAGGCTCGATTGGACGTGCTAGAAGGACAGTTGGCACAGACCAATGCCCTGCTGGAAACTCTCGTACGCAAGCTAAAGCGTGACGAGAGGCGGAAGAAAAAGAAAAAGACTGCGGATGCTGGCAGCGCAGAAGGTGCGGATCTTTCGGCCGGGACTGAGGC